GGTTCGCTGAATACTAAACGCTTGTAAAGTTCTTCCTGATCTCCTCGTTTGTTCGCATCTTCCGTTCCGTCTTTTGACAATACTTCGTTTTCGATTGCTGCTTAAAACTGAAAGAGATGAAGCAATCGATGTCGGTTTCAATGAGTTGTCATGAACGTAAGAGGGCAAACAGCATTGTAAAGAGACTCAGGAACGTTTAATCTAGCCACTGTGTTGTAAGTGCACTTTATCTTTGTTGACATAGATTTCAACCCTGTTGGTAACTATGAGGAGAGCGATTATCACAATTTGCGCAGTGGTGAATTCTGGCAACCTCCTGAATACTACTGCACGCCAAACCTTTCGATGGCGATCAGCCATTCCGTGGTCTATGCGGCTCACATTGAGACAACACGCAGTTCCATCCGTTGTTTACATACGAAACAAGTATGCCGTGGCCACATTTCCACTGACAGCAAACTACACCACTTTCAGCTGAAAGTCATCTAGTTTCGTTCGATGTGGTCTCTGCTCGATGGTCAGCGATTTTGTTATTGTGTGTTCGAAGCTCTTGATAAACGTCTATTTAATGGGCCACAGAAGTAGTCAGCCTAACAGGTACGCTCTACTCAGCTGCAGAATAAAATCACGTTTCACCAACTTCAAGTGTGGTATTCCCAGTGGCGCGTGGGATATCTGTAAAATGCAGTTCGGTTGGAGTTTTATTGCGCTCAACGTCGAAATGATCACGCTGCTCGTGAACATCTCGTAGCCGAATGATGGCTAATTGCGAAAAGTTTATACATAAGCTATTTGCAACATTTTTAACTGAGTCCTGCAAGGCGGCGATTGAGTCACATTCAAGTATGATGGCGAACAAGAGAACCACAAGGTATAATCAATGTATGCTTGATCAACCCATTCAATAAGGAATCTTACGTTATTCTGAGCCAGGTTGTTGCCCCAATGACTGCGATTGAGAACTGGTCACTTTCGTCCATCTGCATTCGAAACTGTCATTTTCAACACGACAAAGTCATGACTGTCACACTGCCGGTGTATTTCAAGCTCTTTCCTGCGTTCGAGTACAGTCACCCTCTTGATCTAAGTTGAGTATTAGTGCCAGTCACACATAAATAAGATTCTTGCTCCACGCACCGGTTCTCACCCCACGTACTGGGTTTAACCCACCCAATAATGTCAGTGGACAATTTAAGATGAGCTGGTCGATTCTGGTTCCAAATTGTCCTCAGTGTAATCTCAGATGTCAGAGCTGATCAGAAGGTGCTCATATGAATTCGCGATTGTAATCGATGGCCCAAACGACAATAGGGTTCACGTCGTGACTCCATTGACAGACTTGAAGCAATCGATTCTCGCCTAATCCTGTCAAACTAATGAGCTTTCCCTTACAAACCATCACTAATTTGTCCGTTGAGGACTGTGCCTTTTCTTAAAATCTGTATTTGTTTGCCAGGTTAGAACGACACCTCCCTGATTATTTCACCTACAGGTTAATTGGGAGGGGACCACATAAGACAAAAACAAACACACTGTCTTCTTCGCTCCCCCTTGCTAGACCCCTGATATGATAATCAGTGATCAGCAGACTCAGAGTACATTCCCCTATAAGACACAAGCATCCTAAGCATACCTATAAAAAGGGAAATAGTGGCTGATCTCAATGGACCAACGGGAAAATGTCCACCGTTGAATTACTTACTCTGTTCTGTACACCAAATATTGTGGTGGCCAAGAATGATTGTGTTTTGTTCTTTTTTAAATTTGTTTGACGGACTTTACCACATAACACGTAGTGTTATTCTGGCATACGATAATCGCAAGTTCTTATCCAAACTTCCCATTAAAATCTACCGCACGGTAGGGTTAAGGGAAATAAAAGTATTTCTTATCGTATTTGTTTAAAACTGTTGTAAATATATCAGGATATGTCTTGTATATCGAAAGATTTTGTTGTCCGCTTTCGGCGAAAAATTGCTTGCTAATTTCTTTCCCAGAAGTTTATCTAGGCTGGATTGTACGCGAGAATTTATGCGACACATTTTGACAGCAATCATGTAAGCATAAATGGCATTATTTTGTCGGGTTATTTTTCAGAATGCAGTGCTTGCGGAAGAGGAATTGCACTGCAGTTATCTGGCCAAATTTACACCTTTGTTAATTTAAAAGATGTGACTTTTTTAGACCCATGCTTCTCCAGTCCAGAGAAAACTTGCTGTATTCCCGCGTTTGTCATACCAACGTCTTACGTTTGCATACACAACGGAAGTCATGCAGTTAGCTATGAACAAATCGTGAATACCCGGGCGAGAGTTTCTCTCGAATTTCTTGTTCGTTCTGGCGAATAGAAATGTAGCCAAGGCAGACTCACATCGTAGTTAAAGAACCGGTGGGACTGCGTGTTGTCTCAATGTGAGCCACATGACCACGGAATGGCTGATCGTCATCGAACGGTTTGGCGTTCAGTAGTAATCAGGTGGTCACTAGAATGCACCATTCCGCACTTTGTGATGTTTGCTCTCCTCATAGTTACCAGCAGGGTTGAAATAGATATGAAGTGCTTTCCAAGTTTCCCCGTTGAGAAAGTGCACCTACGTTGGAAGGCCTCGTCTGAGCATTCCTAGTATCCCTTCCAACGACAATTTTACTGCTGCGTTTAAAGACAGTCTAGTGAAACTGACATCGATTTCTTCATCTCTTTCAATTTTAAGCGAACGAAATGCCCTCAAAAACCAGAACGGAAGATCCGAACAAACCAGCAGACCAGGAAGAACCTTACAAGCGTTTAGTGTGCAGCGAACCATTTCCCTGGTTCTCCGAGGTTACGAGGAACCAAAAAATACCGCACGATGAATCTCCCGACTTCTATTGCGACGTTTCCGGAACATCGTTCAAGAGTAAGCGAAATCTAAAGGATCATATGAGGAAGCACAAAAGTTCAGAATTTTACAAGCGTGTCGAAACATCTAGCGAACGGATGCAACAATCACAGGAGAGGGGAAGCTCATGTTCCGATTGCGGAAAGTGCTTTGCAAATTGGAGCAATCTGCGTCGTCACCAGCGGCACGTTCATCATCGACAGGGCCAAAAACCAATCTGCGTCGTCACCAGCGGTACGTTCATCGGAAGGATAAACATCGACAGGGCCAAGAATGTGGGGTGCTATTCTTCCAAGAATGGAATTTGGATCGTCATATGAGAACGAAGCACAAAACGCAAGTTTCACACATTTGTGAGAAATGTGGGAAAACGTACTGTCGACAGGATGCGCTTAAGGTACATCTAAAAGTTATCCACAACAAAGATGCAAATGTCACGACTGACTAACCAAAACCGAATTGACAAATTGTGTCGTACAGAAGAATAAATACACACTGAGCAGCAGAATGCGTGAACATTTTTCGTTCTGACCAGAGTGCCTGCTTCATTCTTGAGGGAAAAAATGTTCGCGAAACTCAGTTGTGCGATGGGACAAGCTCCAGACAAATTTTTGGCAAGTAATTTCCGACTGTATTCGGGTGAATCACCCGTCGAAACCAAATTGATATGCGAGCACATGGCTATACTGATGGCATTTGTTAAAACATTAGAATGATTCCTGCATTCATTGAGTTATCCAACAATTTCTTTGGATCTGCCGTGATCTGGTATGCGTGGACGATGTCATCTAAACTTCTGGGGAGTAAACACTTTTAACACTATTTCGATATGCCGCTGGTGCGTCACTGCATGGTTAGTCAGCCGAAACGGCTCGATCTGTTATTTCTTTAACACTGTAGTTACACCTGTCACTTACGGGATTGCAGGTCTAGCCCGATAAGTTATTCAGCTGCAGCATGTGACGTAATCATGTCGTTGTTTGTGGTAATGCGACTACCTCAGGCCGGGTACCTAATTCGTACTTCAAAAATCGACACCTCTCACCTCTCGTTGTTCACCAGCACCATGAAGCCCATCGAGAATTACTTGATAGTATGTTCAGTATTCCATTGATTTTTTCTTCACCTCCAGGCTCCGGGTTGAGCGAAGAGGTATTCTTATATCGTGGAAGTTGATGCACTAACTAGCGCATCCTAACTTGAGATCATTACTGGCCTGGCACAGATAAGAGGCCTTCGCCAAGCAAACCAATCAAATGCAATCTTTCAAGCAAACAATACAATCCTCAAGCACTCGTATTGCCGCATTCTGTGTTTTCGTGATGGTGTGCAGAATCACCAGGAGTTTGACTGCTTTCTGATTATACAACCTGGCCTCAAGAAAACTTAGGAACTGCCTAAGACCTTGCATAGTTTGCATAAATTAAGACGGATGTCCTGAAATTCCCTCTTACCTTACACACATTTGTGATAACCGATGGGCTTTCAGCAACACAATAGTGCTTTCGGTAAAAAAACATGCATCATGTTAATCGTTTCAGATGGCACCCGATGCGGCGACTGAAAAGCCTGACCCACAAGGCAGTGGGAGGACGTAAGGCTTCGTTCGGGGACCCTGACCCTAGCCACTGACTCAAACGTCTGACCCACGAGGCAGTTGGATAATGTGGGGTTTTACTTTGGGGACCATGCCCGGAGCCGATAACACAGTATTCTGACCTGCTCAGCTGCAGGGGGTTGGCCTAACACGAGGGCGCAGGGAATTATGTATTTCTGTCTCCTTCCTGATGCGGCTGCGACATGAGAGCTTGTAAGATAATTCTTGTGAATTCCACAGAGGTATCGTTTGGTACATCACTGATCTTCTTGTTTCCAGCTGTTAATTTAGCCAAACCCCGTGAACCCTCTCCGATGATCGGCTTTCCGAATTCACTGAAAATCGCCAAACACGAATTCTTCTGATTTCAATGCACGGTCGACATTGCGTCAGAAAAAATTACATTGGTAGCTTGCGTATTTTGGAACGCTTCTTTTCGAATGTAAATTTTGATCACCAACAGCATTCTCCGTAGATTTTATGAAATAATCAAATTTTAAGATTGTTTATTACCACTTATTTACCTATCAGCCGTCGTCTCGCTTCACAACACATCAGCGCACTGGTGACGCTTGCCGCCGCCGCGGGTAAGACACAGTAACTTAGAGTGAGACGAATAATATCGAGAGGTTCGCAGGAACCACGCAAAGGGTATAGCTGGACAATGGATTACAGTCTAAAAAACCAGTTGATACCGACGCATATTTTACGTCTAGTTGCTTGAATCACTCAGCCGTTTCCGGTATCTGGATACCATTATTGAGTGCCCAAGTTCCAACGGGGAAATATTTAGGAGTTTTGCAAGCACCAGCCAAACAACAGTTCAACACAGGACGCCATCAGCAAACAGAACGGATGATGGCTGTCCCAGCGCGGATCAGCCGGAATACTCGGGTAGAGGAACGCATCCGGAGGGACCTCACACGTGTTTGGTGTGCGGCAAATCCTTCCGTCACCTTTCATCAGCTAAGAGACACCATGAGGTGCACGCTGACCATGCCATTACTCAGTGTAGTTTGTGTAAAACGTCGTTCCGGAATGAGCGTTGATTGCGGCAACACATGAGGGAACTTCATCCTTCGGGAGACGAAAGGCCTTCCAGAACAGCCAGTAAACGCGTACAATAATCAGAGCTAAGAGGCAATCCCTGTCCCAAATGCGGAAAGTGCCTTGCGCGTTGGAGCATTATGTCTCAGCATCCGAATCAGTCACATGGTGAGGAAGCGCGTCAACAATGCGAGGAGTGTGGGGCCTCTTTCCGCCAGGAATCAGATAGCGATCGACATTTAATAACCGTGCATGGAACGCAAGGCCGTCACATGTGTGAGCAATGCGGACTAACCTGCACTCGATCAGATATTCTCAGGAGACATGTTGCAAGGAAGCACACCGATTAGCCGGAGGACAAACGACTTATTGATAAGAAACAGCCGAACTAATCAGTACACACCCACAAAATGTATCGAACCTGTGATGCCCGGTGTTACCTTCTGTTTAAAGCCCAATCAATTTGTATCGGGCTGACAGGAATTTGGTTTGTTCCTTTTTTGGCGTATGCTTGTGAGCTACACTCTACATAATTTGGAAGCTTAAAAAGATCCGATAAACTCTGTTTCTGTTTTCATTTGCGAAAAATGTAAAACACGCGTTTTACGATGGAATTACGAGCGAAATCACGAGACGAGAATTGCGGGGTCTTGAAATTTATCAATAAAACCCAGTATTAACCTTACAGGGAATTCCGTATTTTTGGTGTTTGAAATAGCACAAATCCGGAGATTGCCCATGTTGAACGGCGAATCTAGCTGAGTTAGGGAGAAACGTGCGCGCACAGCACGTGTTAACGCGAGTGGTTCAAATTAGGACGTGAAACGTTTATGGATACTGTGAAAAACTCTTGGAAATTGTTGAGTAGTCATCGCTTTCAGAAAACGTTTCTTCAAAACTGGTCGGACATGTTAAGGGTCAACTTTTCTTGAGCGAATATAAGTGAATGTGGTATACATGAGATAGGCACAGAAATCAGTGTGTTCAGGCGGGCGCAGGGTTTGACTGAGAGAAATGGAGGGTACTCAGTAGTGAAACTAGTCTCCTTCGTGCTAACTGAGAATAGGCTTCGATCTTAGGTGCAAGAATGAAACAGGACGTCAATATTCGAATGAATCAGCCAAAACGTCTGCTGTCCAATCAAAACGACAGACCATCCGTCGTCTAACGGTGACTTCAGCGACTGGTCTATCTACCCAGTCAAACAGCCTCGGCCTGTGGAGACAACCATGGGGACATCTACCAAGTTTATCTACTTGTAGACTCGAGATTTCAACAGTGCTCGTTGAAAAGTATCCACAAATCTTTCGGCTTGGCCATTTGGTTGAGAGTGGTACGACAAAGACTCAGTGCGCGTGCTGCGGCCTTCTGAGTTCCTCATTCAAAACGAGTCAGGTAGCGTTTTGCATATGTTCACTTTTGCCGCCTGTGTCTTGTAGCAGATAGTATTCAGTCGCCTGTCCGAAAGGTTTAGCTTGTCGATCCAATCTAATCCTAACAAATCGAATCCGGGATGATCGGACACATGACAAATGCCACTCACATTGATACAGTCAAGAGTCATGGTACATTTGAACTCACCAGAGAGTTTCAGTAAACTCCCGAATGCAGTGAGTGCATCTTGTTTGGTCCTGGTAAATGCTGGGCTGCTAAGCAATTTCCAGGTTCTTTTTGAGATGATCGTGATGCCTGATGCCGTGTCCAGCTGGAGACGAACAGGTGTGCTGTCAATACGCACTGATACGTATTTCTTCCTGTTCACTTGTGGGCATTGATGAGCGACCAGACAAACGCAAGCCTTCGGAAGCTTGGAATCGGAAGTTCTAGTTCGAGAATGCCCCTTGGGTGCCTGCATTCTCTCGCCATGACACCGGTCTTCTTTGTGTTCGATACGGTAGCACCTGCTGCAGCGGTGTCATGCTTCAAATTCATCAGGCGTTAGCATTCCGACGTAATATTCTATAATGTGACGTCTGGGTTCTGCTCAATATTGCTGAGCATTCTGCTTCTTATGTCTGCGCCTTCAGGAGACGTCAACCCGCGCACAAATATAAGACATTTGAACTCATCCTCTGTCATGCTGCGGAACTTGAAATGTTCACACTCTTTGTTGACTTTGCCCGCGTACGTAACCCAGTCTTCAGAAGCTTTCTTGCTCAAATACATACATTGAAATCGACAGCTGAACAAGGAAGCATGTTCTCCGAAGATTGACGATAACACAGCAACGGTTTCATCGAAAGTCGGTCATTTGGTTTTCGTGGCAAAATATAGTTCGTGAAGCGTTCATGTTCGGCCACTCCGATATTGCCTACCAACTGTCTTGCTCTCAGAGAATCTTCTCTGCTTCCCAGATCCAAGCTGAAAAATCTTGATGCTTGTTGAACCAGTCAGGACGAAACGAAATCTACCCATTGTGATACTTAGTGTGCATTTATTCTTCAGTAGGTCACTTTCGATCAATTCGGTGTTGGCTAGTCTCTCGTGGAGTTTGCATTCTTGTTGTGGATTGATTCTACATGTTCCTTAAGCGCGTCCTGTCGGGGCTACGTTTTCCCACATTGCTCGCAAATGTGTGGAACTTGCGTTTCGTGCTTCGTTCTCTTATGGCGGTCCAAATTCCATTTTTGGTGGAATAAGGCACCCCCATTCCTGGCACTGTAGTTGTTTTTCATTCCGGTGAACGCCCCGCTGATGTCAACGCAGACTGCTCCAAGTGGCGAAGCACTAATCGCTAGACGATTGCGGAGCTTTTCAGCCGATTGTTCTATCAGAATGACGCAGGATCCCCCGGCCTTAAAGCCAACTGTTCAACAGTCTTGGTTAGCTGTCTCCCGAGGTATTGCTGGGCACTAGAAGCTCCAGCAGCGCACAGAGCACTGGCGATGAACAAGTACTCAACGCCTGCCAGTTTGTTATCACAGCATAATCCAGTAGAATCAAAATCAACTTGTATTACTAGCATAGTGAGAGCTTGGCTGTTTGTAAATTTTATTCGAAATGCGGTGGATTTCGTAGATGTTTCCTGATTCGATAACTCCTTTTTCATTCTAATTCAGATTAGCTTTTGTGTGAATTTACGAAACAAAATTGCACGGAAAAAGCCCATGTCTTGGAAGACGCTGACGTGAGCCGCGTAAACAGAATCTACACGAGTTGTCGAGAAACCCAACTCAATCCAGTAACTTTACTGCGCTAAAATAAAACCCTTCAAACAATACTGATGTTGATCATTTATGCGGTGAGTCCGTGTTCCCAGTATAATCAAACAATTTCGATGAAGAAGTCTTTGAACAGCATAAACGCACTCGCCTTCATCAGAGGTACTATTGCGAACATATCCAGCCTAGTGGTTACCAAAATTGAGAGCGAAAGTGCAGGGCCACCATCGTCATTGAGCCGTCGACAACTCGCCTTTGATAACTCAATTGAAGAATGTAAACGTCTACGGAACATCCGAAATCCAGTTCGTTTAATCGACATTACTGGATTCTAATAGTTACGTATCAACCGGAACTAGTTTGAAGTGGAAAACCAGTTCATTAGCAAAATATTTGAAGGCCCGTGCTCTAGAAAGCAGGGGTGGTTATAAACCGGGGTTGTAACAGTTATCCGTTCTGTTAGATTACCATTCCCCGGTTAGTCTCAGGAACTTGAAAAAGATGTACTTGTCCGTCCAGAAATTGCGACGGATTTCAGTTAACATTTTGAACAAGGCGGTTTCAAAGGAACCTCGACAACTTGAAGCCTCCAAGGAGGTTTTCAGATTTCAAGCGCATAAGAACTTAGACGAACGAGCCACAGGATCCTGAAACGAAAGGGATTAGACGACCCAGTTTCTGAGATGCAACTTCATTGAACTGGTTTTAGTTATCAGAAATCATTGAGTGCATTTGGGGGTAGCTGTAGAGCGAAATGCTTTATCAGAAACCGCTGGTTATTTATGACGGATCGCGTCATGGTTCCATCTCCGGTTTACCAAGTTTGAGGTTGATTTGAAATTCTGATGCAAAACAATGCATTTAACGAACCCAACGATGTCCGTGAGTCACATCTCTACTGCATCCTGTTTAGGTTTGGACAACTTAGAGTTATCTCAGCCCAGTGCTCTCATCGGGTGGTATCATCACAGATAGGGACCAAAAGGGTGCAACAGCTCATCGACTGAGCTTCCCCCCATTTGCCCCAGCAGGCATGGTTGCACGTGGGTCTTGGCTCTAATCATTCCATGTTGTGTTTGTAGGTAGGGTCTATTTGAACAAGAGGTGTTTATGGAACTTAAAGGGGGCGATGCACCCAATGGTTACTCCCAGTGGCAAATTGTGAAATCTCGGGCTGCCGGATGATTAGAGAGAAATTGCTTAGCATTTTACACGGTGTTCCTCGGATTCAAGGCGTTGATCGAACGGTTTGTTCACAGAAATTGACGAGGCTGACGTGCCAGGCAAAGTGAAGGTTAAACAACTCTACAGGTTATTATCTAGCGTTTTGTTCAAGAAAAATACTACTAAAAATCACTCTAACTGGCCAATGAGCACTCCGTGAGGCATATTCAGTTGGGGAAGAGGGATATAAAAACAACCGATGCTGACATTCTACGAAGGTTCATGTTTAGTGCACATCATTCTAAAGCGAGCGCGTACAATCTGATATTCTTGTACGTTAAAACAATATATGAACTTTCGAGGGCAACACTTTTTTTCAAGAAAATTCAAAATTGAGTGCCCTTTATTGGAACACTTTCGGCTGCCATGCACCCGGTATTGGACGAGGATGTGTTTCGCGTATCACTCAGTTTGGTTTCAAATATTCTTTTTGCGCTTTGCTCGTCCAACGACACTGTCTGTCTCCAGAGTGCAATTTGATAAAGCTAACCTCGATCATCACTTGTTCTATCCCTGGGTAACTTCTTGAGTTCTGTTATCTACAGGGTCTAGACAAATAATCGTACTGCAATGCACAAACCATATGTGCTGGCGAACCAATTTATTGTTGGATGGTACATTGCCTGAGCTCGATCACAGCCGATAGGAGAGGAGCTGCGTAAGCCCATTCTCAGGTTCTAGATTATTTTACGTTCTGAACTCCCGTTTTGCTTAGGACAAGGTGTGATCTGTCGATTTTGTAATGTATTGTGAACTCATGAATATATTTAGGCGATCAATACCTGCATTTCGTTTGGTCCAATCTGCCTGTTCATGACAGTCCCCACCCAAAATGGATGCCCTCTGAAGGCATTGCTATAGGACTCCACGCACTTTGTCTCACCGCATACAGTCGGTGACCAGTTTGAAACGAACCTGCTACTTCCAGTTCTGCATGGTGCCCTGGGTGCGCCCAAACATCAGAAAGTTAAAAAATGTCAGGCAATGCTGAGATCTTCCAAAACAGACGCCTTGACTCCGTCGACCTAATTAAAGCAGCGCATCCTGGTTGTCCTGCCCATATTGGGGTTCCGAAGAGCTTGCCATGAGAATTGATACAGCCATCAAATTTGCCCTCCAGACAGCACAGTTAATTAGTCGTCTGAAGTCTCTGCCTTGCCTCAAAATATGCATGCAAATTCCAGACTGCCTAATTTATTTGTCCTACCAATTAATTCGCGGGGTGTTGGGGGGGGAAGACCGTGGAGAACAGGAATACATATTCAGTGGTCTACTTCAACCAATCATATAATTAGCTGATTTTGACTCCATTCCAAGGGACCACTGATGTCAACAAACGCGATCAATGAACTCAGATTGCACATAACACCTGACCATCATGAACAAACCTATGTAGATACAACAAGAACATCACGGTATACACAGGGAAAAATGAAATCTACAGAACTAATTTGGGTGCTGTTGTGTACACGAAATATTGTGGCGGCCGAAAATCACGGTGAGTTAATCTCGCTCTCCCACAAAATCACACAGTGTAACCACGACAACTCGGCTAGGCCTCTGATTACAGCGAACTGCGTTCAGTTGTGTAGTGCGCGTACAATACTTATTGCTGTTCTCCATCCATCAGCGTTCTCGCGTGATTAATTCCCGTGTTAACTACGAAAGGCAAGTTTTGTTATTGCCCATTTGAGAAAGCAAATTTGGATCGCAAATTAGCAGGATTTTTTGATGCTCTCCAGTTGATCGTTTGCCACTATGTTTATTCTCCCCTGAACAACAATCATCTGGGTCTCCCTCACCTTTCTCAGCATCTGTGAATCCTATAATTTGAAGAAAAATACCGCCACTAGAAAACCTCCTTAAAGGAGATGGATTCATTTGCTTCCAGAGAAAATTCTACGTTCCTGTGGACAAAGGATCAGGGCACCTCCATATGTAGTGAATTGGACGTAACCACTTGAGAAATGGTGTTTTCCTCAGACATGACAGGCACAATGAATTCACACGTGACTCTTCCTTTGGTAGTGACGTATCGTCAGGACATCGAGATAAATAATCTGTTCCACA